AACCTTGAGCCGGTGAGATTAGAACCGCTGAACTGCAGATAACAGTCAGCTGAAGTGGCCTGCAGTACTGCACCCTAACCACTGCGCCACCGCAGAAGCTGATCGTCAGGACTTTTTTCAAACTTTTTTTAACTTTTTTTTTTTTTGCTACCGGTTCGGGCAAAGGAGCCCGAACCGGTAGCATTTCACTCCTGATTGGGGGCTAAGTCTAGGGCCTGAGCAAGGGGGTTGGACTAGAAGACCTCCAAGGTCCCATCCAGCTCCGTTGTTCTGTCTTCTATTCTTTGCTTCTTTATTACCCTGTACGACACTTATCCCTTTTTAATATCATCATTTTCCAGACGAAGGCTCTGCATTAAAGGAATTCCTCACTGCGACAGCTGGACTCTCCCCAGATGAGAGAGCCAAACGTCTTGAGAACAACAAGGTAAAGGATGAGTGACTTGGATAGTTTTTTTATTTTCATTTTCTGCAAGGTGGTTCAAGGTGCTCCCAGAGGCCTTAAGGGTGTGTTTAGAAACGTGATCCTATTTCCTAATGATTCCAACCTCCTGTTTCAACTATCAGTAGGAACACACAGACTTCCATATTAGAACTTGCAAATAATTCAATTACAAATGTAGAAATGATTTTATATATATATATATACTAGTTGAAAACCCAGATATTTATTTATAGGGGGAAAAGGTCTGGACCAAACATAATTTCTAATGTTGGATTTTTCCCCTCTTACCAGAGGGAGCCCCCTTGTGGAGTACTGTGAAACCGTTATCATGGCAACTTCATTGCGCTGTACAGTAGAAGCCATTTTAAGGCACAACAGGCTTTATCTTAACAGAACACACACCCTGAGGGGGGTTAGGAGTATCTTACCCCCAAAGTATTCATTTCCAGAGGCTAAATCATCTGTGTACCAAGTTTGGTTGTAATTGCTCGAGGCGTTCCACAGTTATACTGGAATCCAATCTTGGCCTCCTTTTAAGACTTCAACTCCCAGAATGCCTCCAGCCAGACATGAATTCTGGGAGTTGAAGTCCAGAGGTCTTAAAATGGCCGACGCTCGACACCCCTAGTGTAGACAGAACAGATTGGCAGGAATGGGAATAGTGGATTTAGATAAAATCATGATAATCCTGTTCGGCATTAGAGGTTACTCAAACAAAATCTATCTGATTTCTTTTTATCTTTTCCCAGGCCATTCAAGAAGTCCATAATGCGGTAGCTCAAGAGGGCCAGTGTCGGGTAAATACTGCTTTAATTTATAAGTTTTCAACAATAGAATGGGCCAAGAACGGGTGTTTCAACCCCGAGAGGTTATAATAACAGAATTTTGCAAATCTGAATGTGTTTTCCCTGCTTTCTTCCTTTTATCTTGTGGGAGAATTGTGGGAGGATCATGTCTGAGATGGTTATTCTGGTCACAGTGCTGTATCTAACTTAGTTTCCTGAATAGAATAGGAATAGAAATAGAAATAAGAATAGAAATAGAATAGGAATAGGAATAGAATTATATCGGAATATGGAATACAATAGAAAAGAATAGAAATAGAAATTAGAATAGAATGGAATAGGAATAGGAATAAGACTAGAAATAGGGATAGAAATAGAATAGGCATAGGAATAGAATAGGAATAGGAACTGAATTGAAATATCAGAATATAGAATAGAAAAGAACAGAAATAAGAATAGAATTGAATTAGAATAGAATAGAAATAGGAATAGAAATAAGAATAGAAATAGAAATAAGAATAGAAATAGAATAGGAATTGAATTGAATTATATCGGAATACAGAATAGAATAAAAATAGAAGTTGAAATAGAAATAAGAATAGAAGTAAAAAAAGAAATAGAAATGAGAATAGAAATAGAAATAAGAATAGAAATAGAATGGAATTCTTTATTGGCCAAGTGTGACTGGACACACAAGGAATTTGTCTTTGGTGCAGATGCTCTCAGCGTACATAAAGAAAAATAAAACACAATACATTCATCAAGAATCATAAGAAACCACACTTAGTGATAGTCATAGGTAACTAATAAGCCATCAAATTATACTAGGAAACAAATGAAACAATATAAATCTTAAAGATACAAGCAACATGGTTCTAATCATAAGTGGGAAGAGAGAGGTAATAGGAAGGAAGAGAAGAATAATAGTAATACAGTCTTAGTAGGTAATATGGGTAGTAGGTGTTGTGG